AGAGAGTATTATATATATATATATATATATATATATATATATATGTGTAGGTAGAAATCGTTATACATAGGTAGAGATGTAAGTATCTAAGAAAACTCTAAAGAACCTTAGGAGAAACAGTATCGTTGTACGAGGTACGATAAGTGAACATAAATGTTTTAAGATACTCGCGTACAAGAAAAACGAGATGAATACTGGAGGAATAAAAAAATAAAAGCATACATAAAATTAAGTGGTAATAAAAAAATTAAAAAACAGTACGATTATAATTGTATTATCGTGGTCTAAGGTATTTTCAGTCATGTTGTATAGTAATTGTAAATTACACGATTTTAAAGGAAAAACAATGCGAAAATGTGTATATGTGTGTGAGTGGGTGTGTGCGTATATGTAAGGGAAAGAAAGGATGATAGAAAGGGCAAACGTAAGAAGTGCGGCGCGGCTCGTGCTAGATCATCTTTGCGCAAAAGGAACAAGCTTTAAATGGAAGAAAGAAATATTGAAACGAGTGAATTATATCGGTCGAGTATTGCGAAATTTGTAATAATAAACACTCTTTCCCCCTTTTCCTAAAGATTTCGGCACAAACAGAACGAGTAGCAAATGGGACGCGAATTAAAAGAGAAGTATAAAAAGCCCTCTTTTAATAATAATGTTAATAATAAATAACAAATACTCGCAGCAACAGGGCACTGACAAACGCAATGCTAGATAGCTGTAATTTCGAAGCACTGATCCCTGATACGAGTGAACGAAATTTGATGTTACTATTTATAAAGTTACGGGAAAAAGGAATTAATTAACAATTTGTCATAATTCAGGACATCTGCAGTTTTGTTTATCAATTTTATTTTTTGATAATTCTATATATATATATTTTTTTTGTTTAAAAATGTTATTCTCTTTTTTGTTAATACTATCACGCAGCGTGCGCCTTCTATTAATATGTGGATTTTCCTTTTATTTAAAAAATTAGACTATTACGCGAGCTATCACATTAGACGTGAAATCGTGTCATCGACACGAAATTCGTCGCAAACTTGATAGCACCGTCGACTACCAATCAGATCTACGGAAAAGCATATAAACCATAAATTCGATTGAAAAAAATACACTTTATGGTTTGTTTTCTACCGGATGGATTGGCGTAATCTTTACACGAAAAATTTTTAATATTTTATTTAGGAATTATTAAATTAATTATATATTTGTTATAACACTTTTGTACAAAAGAACATTGTGTCAATTTCGAATTATTGATTTTTTTTTATTTAGATTGCGAACGTCATGTATTGTCGAATGCACATTCAAAATGCTACACTGATAACCGAACTGATATAGAACTAATATTATTTTTAGGAAACTTCCTCGTTAGAGAAAAGAGTTAAATAGAAATAATGAAGAAAATGAGTACTATTAATAATATACAAGGATTTTATGACAAAAGACTTAAAAAGAACAGCGAGAGAGGAAGAAAGAAAACGAGAGAGAGAGAGAGAGAGAGAGAGAGAGAATAAAAGAAAAAAAGTTTGAATAAAAAAAAATGAAAAAAAAAAGAGAAAAAGAGTGATACAAGTGAATACAGAAGCACCAGTGACAATGTGCGAATGAACAAGAGTGAAAGTGCATAAATAAGAGGTAAGAGAGAAAGAGAATGAAAGAGAAAGAAAGAAAGAAAGAGAAGATGCGCGAGAACGAAAGAGTAATGAGAGAAAAAACAAAGACGATATAACTTATATTTTTAAAAAGTGACCTTTGGCATATTTAAAGACTTGTAAAAATCGTGCAACGAGTTAAATAAACAAAATCAAGGGCGCATTGTATTAAGAGGCGTCCGTCCTTCTCCGTGTCTCTTTTCATGGTACACGATGCACTTATACACGTATACTAAACACATATACACTCACACAGAAAACGCACTCGTTGAAATACTCGGTAACAGGTGCGATTTACAATTCTGAGACATTTTCTAAATTGCGGTACATACTCACATTTTTAGCCGTCAAGCGCAT